AATGAACTCAGTTTGCTTGTGTTGATCAGTGTAGAAATGAAATCAGTTCACCTGGGTTGAACTGCGTCGAAATCAAATCGGTTCCACTGTGTTGAATTGCGTTGGAATGAACTCGGTTCCCCTGTGTTGAACTGCGTTGAAATTAACTCGGTTTGCCTGCATGTGTTGATCAGTGTTGAATTGAAATCAGTTTACCTGGGTTGAACTGCGACGAAATCAACTCTGTTCCTCTCTGTAGAACTGATCTCAAGTCATTTTCCAGTGCATGGAACCAAGTAATGTTGTAGCGTGGTAAACGAAGTTGTTGCAATCTCACATGTTCATTTTTAACAATCGTGCAATCTTAGATCAAAGCCCAAGCTTTGCGTGTTTTTTTCCCTTGATATAAACCAGGGCAGGAATTTCGGTGGCCGCCTATATATCGGCCAAGAATTGCACTAAAAACGCGCTCATTACTCGGTTAATTGCGACTAAATTATATGGTTTGTGCGCGCTGAGTGCGCAGACATACGCAGCCTGCACGCAGCGCCTGCGCCAAACCTGCACCGGCAGCACGCAGCGCCTGCGCCAAAACTGCGCTGCTTGCACGCAGTGCCTGCGCCAAAACTGCGCTGCTTGCACGCAGAGTCTGCGCCAAAACTGCGCTGCTTGCACGCAGTGCCTGCGCCAAACCTGCGCCGTCTGCTCGTAGCGTCTGCGCATAATTTGCACCATCGAGGTCCTATAACCGTTAAATGTTTTTTAAATGTATACTGTCTCTTTCTTGGCAGCTTATTTGTTCCTTGCCAAGCATGTCCTTGTTACAACCAGTCAATGAGCAGTTCAACTTATTTGCGATGTACGTGTCACATTTTGGCCGCTTAAAAGCCGCCTATAAGCCCACCATGTCGCATTTTGGCCATCAATAAGCCTGCCATGTCGTATTTTAGCGGCCAATAAGCCTATCACGCCTCATTTTGCTCACCAATAAGCATGCCATACCGTATTTTAGCCGCTAATAAGCCTACCATGCTTCATTTGGCCACCAATAAGCCTGCCATGCCACCTTATGGCCGCCAATAACCATGCCATGCTGTATTTTGGCCGCCAATAAGCCTTCCAAGCCACATTTTGGCCGCCAATAAGCCTTCCATGCCACATTTGGCCGCCAATAACCATGCCATGCCACGGCATAATTGGCTGTGACGGCAGAGGAAGCGTGGCGCGATCTCGCGGCAATTTCCTCACCTGCGGCGCGCGTTCAATTAACTTTTTTTTATTTAATTTCTTTTTTGTTCACCTGAACGCACGGCGGCCGACGCTGGTCGGTCGCGTGCAGGTAAAGAGGGTATATTGATTGTCCCCTGCTCCCCTCACTTCCCTCACTATCCTCGCCAACCTTACTACCCTCACTAGCCTCACTATTCTCACATCCTTCATTACCCTCGCTACCCTAATTTCCCTCAATATTCTCACTATCACGTCACTAATTTCATTGCCTTCGCTTTTTCACTTCCCTCGCTATTTTCACTACCCTCACTGACTCATCCACCCACTCTGAGTTGTCTAACTTCCCTCACTCCTCCCGTGTCCCCACTCGCTCTCACCTTCGCTGCATTCCCTTCCCTCGCTCACCCTTACTACATCATTTCCCTCACTAATCCCAACTACCCCTACTACCCTCCCTCACCCTCACTTCCCACACTACCCTCTCTCGCCCTCACTTCCCTCCCTCGCCCCTCACTTCCCTCACTACTTTCCTTCACCCTCACTTCCCTCACTACCCTCCCTCACCCTCGCTTCCCTCACCATCCTTAATCCTCCACTATACATTCCACCGCCCCCCCCTCTAGTGAATGTAGTATGGAGCACATTCACCCCCATTCCCCCCTTTATTGAATGCCTATAATTACCGTGACTGAAATGAGCTGCCGAGCTTAAAATTAGCGCCGCACCACCGCCGGCCGCGCGTGGCCGGCGGTGGTGCTGCCGTGATTTTCAATTAGGGTCGTGTGAGTAGGAATCTTTTTTAAATACACAAGGTAGAGCACGTAGCACAGACTACACCGACTACCGAGACTACACAGACTACACACGCTACAGCTACACAGACTGTACAACTACACAGAAAACACTGACTACACAGACTATACAGACACCACAGACTACCGAGACTATACAGACTACACACGCTACACAGACTGTACAGACTACACAGACTACACAGACTACACAGACTACACAGACTACACAGACTACACAGACTATACAGATTACACAGACTACACAGACTACACAGACTACACCGATCACACCGACCACACCGACTAAACCGGCTACACAGACGACAGTCTGTACAGACTACACAGGTTACACAGACGGTACAGACTACACAAACTATACATGCAATTTATTTACTATGTTGGCTTCTCGCGTTGTTCAAGCAGACAGACTATACGAGCATACAGGCTCTGAGGGCGGTCATACAGGCGCACGTACGTATGTTTTGAATGCTGGTGACAGCATTCACTTGATCGTTGATATTGCATGCGTATGTTGCGTGCGTATGTTGCATGCGTATGTTGCATGCGTATGTTGTGTGCGTATGTTGCATGCGTATGTTGCATGCGTATGTTGCATGCGTATGTTGCATGCGTATGTTGCATGCGTATGTTGCATGCGTAGGCGTTCAATATACATAGCCGTACGCATCGATCGTGCACCTGCATGACCTACGTGCACGTGTGCGTACATGTCGCATTTGCGTATCATTAGCGTATATATGCGCACTACGCCAACATGCGTACTCGTGCGCATGAGATCCGGCACTCGTTGCTCTTAATTGAATAAATTAGGGCATAAAAAATATATTAAAATTAGGATACAAATATTTATCGTAAATAAATTAAAAATATTTACAATTTAATAATATAATAATATAATGAAATTTTTACAATTTAATATTTAAATTTAATGTTAATGGTGATAGTCAGGGTAATGGATATAATGGACTAATGTTAATGGTGATAGTCATGGAAATAAATATAATGGACTAATGGAACCCCCCCCTCCCCCGCAGGAGAAGAATGGGGGGCTGGCCTCCTCCTCCTACGCCACCCCCAAGACCTGTCTCTTATACACATCTAGATGTGTATAAGAGACAGGCTCTGCCCCCTCACCCCATTAATTCTGCCCCCTCACATCATTAGTCCTGCCCCTATTACCCCATCAGTAGTGCTCCTCATTACCCCATTAGTCTTGCCTCCATTACCCCATTAGTAGTGCTCCTCATTACCCCATTAGTGCTGCCATCCTCACCCCATTAGTCCTGCCTCCTCATTTACTCCATTTTTCTCGCCCCACAACACCCATTTATCCTTTCTTCCCAATTACTCATTAGTGCTGCCTTAGCCATGACCCATTAGTGCTACCTTCCAATTGCCCATTAGCTCAGATCTTCATGTTGTCCATTATTGCAACCTCTCCCCGTGAAAGATCGTGCAGAATCCCATTAGCCATCAGCAGTGATCTTAAACTAACCTTAACCCGTTATAAATAGTTCCCATTAACCCATTACACTTAGTCCCCATTAATCTGTTAAGACTGTCTATTTTGCAACAAATTTATTATATCGGTTCACCCGACGTAGATGGTTCTCACGCTGGTACATGAGTGTTGTCTGATAATATTGGTTCACACGCTGGTACATGAGTGTTGTCTGATAATATTGGTTCACACGCTGGTACATGAGTGTTGTCTGATGATATTGGTTCACACGCTGGTACATGAGTGTTGTCTGATGATATTGGTTCACACGCTGGTACATGAGTGTTGTCTGATAATATTGGTTCACACGCTGGTACATGAGTGTTGTCTGATAATATTGGTTCACACGCTGGTACATGAGTGTTGTCTGATAATATTGGTTCACACGCTGGTACATGAGTGTTGTCTGATAATATTGGTTCACACGCTGGTACATGAGTGTTGTCTGATAATATTGGTTCACACGCTGGTACATGAGTGTTGTCTGATAATATTGGTTCA